CCAATTTACATGAGTGAGGTTATGTAACCCCTGAGCTTCTGCTAACAGGACCTGGGTGGAAGCCAGCTTGTCTGCCTCTGCATTGCCTTGGGATAAAAGCCCAGGCAATCCTTGGTGCCCCCTAAGATGCTGTAAGAAAATAGGGGCTTCTCTCTCTTTAAGGAGCGTACAAGTCTGAACCATCAAGGGAGTAATGGGGTTCCCATCCAACCAGATATGACAACCTGATAGCCCTGGAAGAAGATTGACTACATACAGACTGTCAGAAAACAAATTCATGGGCTTTCTTATCTTTGTTAGTGCTAAAGCAGTGGCCATGAGTTCCTTGAATTGAGCTGAGCCATCACAAGTGTGGACATATCTCTTTGGTTTTTCATCTGCCTCCGGATATACTACCACTGCAGCTCCAAATCTGCCCCCATCAGTGAAAACACTGTAGGATTTTACTAAGGGCTCCCTCGGCCCAGGATTTGGCGAGCACTACTGCTGGTGGGGCTGTAACACTCAGGGGTGGGGCGGATCCCCGGCTGCCCACAGAATGGATGGGACGCCCCCCCCCCCAAGCCACCTTCCCCAAACCGGGCCTTCCCAGCTGTCCCAGAGCCAGTTGAAGCACACAGCCAATGGTGGTTTTGGTTTTGGTTTTTTTTTCTAAATGCGCCTGGTGGCCACTGGTCACCAACCAAAAAACAGTCCCCTGCCCAGCTTTCGCGGGGGCCCCTGACTCACATACGCGTTAGTTCAAGGTGGGTCGGGTGGGTGGCTTTCCCTGCCCACCCATGAGCTCCGCTCCTCCCTGCCCTTCTGGAAAAGGCACCCATGGATCCTGTATTCATGGGTCCCGGGAGGCCCTGAAGCTGGCCAGGGCACACCCGAGGTGCTGCTTGTCACTTTGGCCGCTTTTCATTTCACTTCTGTTGCATTTCTGCATTCTTCCTCAAACTCTTCCCATGATTCCCATGTATCCCCAGTAAAAACATTAGCCCCAAGTAGCCAGGGAGCCAAATGAACAGCCTCTGCCCAAACCTTTTGAGCTACGGGATCTGACAGATCCAATCCCCTGCTTTTAAGCATATCTCTCAGTGCTTTAAGCGCCGGGTCCTCAGGCTTATTGATTGTGTTATCCATCTTTCGGGTCTCGC